CCCGGTCCAACTGGAAGGACCACCACAGAGACACAACCCTAGCCCCAGTTGCGATTGAGCATCAAAGACTGCCCAACAACTGATAACCTGCGGGATCGGGAGTTCAATTCTGTTTGTGGAGTGCGAAACTCTTCTCAAAACAGATCCAGATCCAACAAGAAGGCCCACCACAGACCGCCAAACCTTGTCCCGGTGGCGGACTTCAGCATCCAAGACTGCCCACCGACTGCTAACCTGCGGCAAGCAAATCCACACCCAGCATCAAGGTTCCCTTAGAGTGCGTGGCCATCCGCACAGATAGCCAACGACTGTTTGACACTTGTTGAAGGTGCTCAGTCACCAAACGGATCCGCATAGAGAGCCAATGACGGTTTGACACTTCCTTAAGGAAGTCTATCGAAAACCAATATCTGCGAATTTATTCGTTGTTCAACTAGTATCTCTCAATGCCTTTTCCGGTTAAATATAACCGATATCTGTGAATTGATTCGTTGTTCAACTAGTATCTGTCGATGCCTTTTCCGGTTAAAAAACACCAAAAACTGCGAATTCATTCCCATTTCAACCAGTATCTGTCAATGCCTTTCCGGGTTAAAGCTACGAGCTCGGTCCCTCTCCCAATCACGGCTCTCTCTCTCTCTCTCTCGATCACGACCCGGAATCAAATCTCGCATCAAGCTTCCCTAACAGTGCTAATGGCAATCCACACAGACAACCAATGACTGTTTCACACTTCTTCAAGCTGCTCGATCGCCAAACAGATCAGGAACCAGCATCAAGGCCCCCTAACAGTGCTATTGGCAATCGGCATCGAGAGCGAACGACTGTTTGCCACTTCCTTCAGGTGCTCTGTCGAACACCACTAACTCCTGAATCATTCGGTGTTCTGTCAACCGAAGAAGGGGGTCCTTTCGGGAAGATAAATGGTGGACACATTTGTTGCAGGGGCACTGACGGCTTGCGGGTGCAACTTGTCAAATGTCGTGCACCAGGCTGGGTGTTTCGCCCGACCACAGTTGACGGGTTCAGTCCATCAACTTGCAAGGTGTCAGGCGCCGGACCCCTGACCTTTTATGGAAACCCCTGACCTTTTATGGAAAACAGGCACCACAAACCCAACAGGATGCCCTTTTGAATCGTGTACTATCTGTCACAGTTGTTGGCAACACCTACACTGAGGTGTTAATTCGCATTTGATAACGACTATTCATGTACGAAGGGCTCAAAACGCCCCACCGCAACATTTGTCATGTCAACACCTCATATACTGACCATTTATCCTCACTTAAAGTGTCGCATGATGCCCTATTGGGCCATGTACTGAGTGTTAATTCGCAGTCGAAATAGTTCACTTTTTGACAAAAAGTTCATTTTTTACGAAATGTGTATTGGTAGCTAATACAATGAAGATAGGAATAAGTGGATTCTTAACGAAAGAAGAAACCCTTCTGATCAAAAGGACGTGCCAGGAGTTTCATCTGGCATTTGCCTTTAGTGATCACCAAAAGGGGCGGTTAAACGCAAGGCTAATTCCCCTGGTCATAATCCACATGGTGGAGCATGAGTGCTGGAATGACAAGGGGCCGTCCTATGAATTTGGGATAGCAGGGGAAGTGACAGACCTTCTTCGAGGAAAGATGGACTCCTTCGTCGCAGAGCCTACTGCGTCACCATACGCGAACAGGTGGTTCGTCTTTCGGAAACCCAACAAGACGCTAAGATGGATTCAAGATCTGCAGAAGTTGAATGCGGTAACCATCCGGGATGCTGGTTCGCTACCTCAGACCGATTTATTAGCGGAGTCCCATGCCGGCCGGAGCATTTACTGCCTGATAGATTTGTATTCCGGATACGACCAGCTTCCATTGGATGCTCGGGACAGACCGTACGCCGCAATGCACACCCCCGTAGGCCAGTTGCAGATGCAGGTGACCCCTATGGGCTTTACGAACGCAGTAGCCGAAGCACAAAGGAGGATGCTCGCCGTAGTCGGAGACATGTTTCCAGAGAAGTGTGAGCCCTGCATCGATGACAACCCGATCAAAGGCGCCCAAGAGAAGGACGAGACGGAAGTCCAACTAGGAATCCGAAGATTTGTATGGGACCACCTACAGGACATCGAGGACTTACTCCGCTGATTCCTAGTATACAACATCACCGCTAGCGGACCAAAGAGTATTCTAGCAGCACCAGAAGTGACCATACTGGGATTTCGTTATGGCGCATACAGTAGGAAACCTGACCCGGCTAAGACAGATAAGATATCACTGTGGCCAACACCCCTACACACAACAACGGAGGTAAGAGCATTCTTAGGCGTGGTAGGCGTTTGGAGGATTTTTATTAAAAGCGTTGCCAAGATTGCTGAGCCTATCCGGGCCATGATCAAAGAAGAAGGGACCATGGATTGGACGGAGGAGCGAGAAGGAGCCGTCCAAACCCTCAAGGACATACTGACATCTGAGCAAGTCGCCCTGTCGGCGCCCTGTTTTAATGACGAAGTGGAACGACCGTTCATCCTAGAGACGGACGGAAGACCCTTGGCCGTAGGAGGCATATTAATTCAAAGGGATGAGGAAGGAAAAAAGAGGCCAATTAGGTTCGAAAGTAGAACCCTGAATTCCGCGGGACGGCGGTACTCACAATTCAAGGAGGAGGTCCGAGCCATCTTGCATTGCCTCAAGACCTTCCAAGCCTACCTATTCGGGAGGCGGTTCATCCTAAGGATCGATCCGACGAATGTCGCAGGGGCCTTAACGAATTACAGGCCTATAGATCCGAGGGTGGGGAGATGGGTAGGATTCATCTGGCACTTCGATTACAAGATCGAACAAATTGCTGGACTCGAAAACAAGGCCGGTGGGCTCAGCTGGGTCTGTATCTCACCCGAAGGGGTGGGAGACGCGGAGGCCATAGATGCGTTCCTTGAATACGAAGGAGGGACACTCGCAGTGGATAATGAAATTATGGGCGAAGGGCGCGCGTCGGGAGAGTTGTTGATCCAAACCCGGGAAAAAGGGGCTCCTGCCGTAGTAGCAGAAGTAGGAATTGATGGCAATGAGGAGAGGGATTCATGGGGAGCGGTAGTAGGCCCGAAGTAGGAATTGATGGCAATGGCAATTGAGGGAGGCCGGGAAGCTGTGATGACCCTAGTGGAGTCTTGGGAACAAAAATAATTGCAATGGATGGTAAACCAAATGAAGGAGGGAAAGGACGAGGAGCAAGAAGGACGGGAGTTTTTTTATGCTCAGATATACGAAGGGATTTTCTGGGAGATCGGATTATTGTTGGTAGGAAATAAACAACCCTTGGAGGTCAGCTTTAGAGCAAGGGAGGAGGCAGAAAGGTACGTCCTAAGCAGCGGTCATCTGTTCAGAAGGGTGGAAGGTGTTACGCCTAGAAGGGTTGTACGCGGAAGGTCTAGGCAGATGGACGTGATCCAGGCTATGCACGACGGACTAGCAGGAGGACATCGATCGTCCAAAGGAACTCTCGCAAAGATGACCCCCCTCCACTATTGGCCAGGCATGGCAGGTATGGTCGCTACGTAATGTCAGACCTGCCTGATCTGCCAGGAACGGAGTTCGGCTCGCATCTTCGAGCCACTTAAACCAATGCGGGTGTTGGGGCCGGGACATCTGGTCCACCTTGACCTTGCGGTTATGCCCGTGTCAACTGATGGATACAGGTATATCCTAGACGCACGGGACAACTTGAGTGGGTTCGTAGAAGCAGTCACCCTCAAGAAAAAGACAGGGAAAAAAGTAGCAGATTGGATAGAAGACTTCTACCTGAGGGATCCCTTCATCAGGAGGTTTATAGCGGACAATGGGACAGAATTTGTGAACCAAGAAGTGTTGGGAATGCTTAAAAGGCTCTATGTACCGATCAAACTCATCGAGCCATATCACCCGGAGGCCAATGCACCTGTGGAAAAGAGGCACCGAACATTAAAGAACACTATTGCGAAGCTCGCTGCAGACAATCTGGGGAGTTGGCCTAGATATCTTAAGCAGACCGTCTTCTCAGAGAACATGACGCCTAAGAGGACAACGGGGTGTATCCCGGCAGAACTTTGGTATGGGAGGGAGATTGACTTTCCCGTGGAAGCCTTGATACCTACCTGGAACAGGTTAGATGACGATCCGCGTATGACCACGGAAGAGTTAATTGAGGCAAGATGTCAACAAACCCTTAAGAACGAGGAGGTCATGGAAGACATCGCCAATCGGGTACTAAACAACAAAGAGGGATAAAGAAAGGTGGGACCAGGTTAAGAATATCCGAAAGGAACCACTTCAGGTGGGGGAGACGGTATTGCTAAGAAACTCGGCACTAGAAAGTACTTGGTCTGGGCAACTGGGAAGGAGGTTCAAAGGCCCCTGCCGGGTCGCCAAGCGGGTGGGACTGAACACCTTCGAGCTGGAAGATTTGGATGGAACTGGATTGAAAGGACCCTTTCTAGGACAGCGATTGGTCATGTTTCTAAGTCGGGACCCAGTGGAACAATGGCTTCAGGAGTCCGAGGACAAGGAAACTGAGGGGCTACAAGCTAAGGACTGACAACGACCTTACCCACACTATGGTTTTGTCTTTAACAACGTCTGTCGGACTGTCATTTTTTTTGGGGATGGGGCGATGGTTTGGACTGACTGAAGTTGGAAAATGGGATGTCCTGGGCCTTTGTGATAACGGGTTTTGTGGGATGATGGGAAAGATTGTCGCGAAGCATTGTATCATAGTTCTGGAAAGGAAATGCATGAGAGGGGAGTGTATAATAGTGGCCTGATGCGAAGGGAACTGGGAGCATTTTGGGGGAAGCGGTATTGCCTACCGAACTGGGGGAACGTGTGTATGAGGGTTTTGGCGGGTGTTGATCTGTTTTACAGGGTCAGGAAGAAACCTTAGAAAAGCAAAAATGGAATTCGACAACGAGAATGACAGCGGGGCGATCAACAGACCTACCGAAGGGGGAGGAGCGGGACCAAGTCGAGAACGGAGGACTGCCAAGAGAAAGTTGTACATAGGGTTCATGTCCAAACAAGTGGTAGGCAGGGGAGCAAGGAAACGCGTGTGTAGAGGACCTTCGCCCCTCCGGAAGGGAGAAGGCATATGTATCTCATCCGAAAGTGAGAGCGAGGAGGAAAGGGCGAATGTGGGAGAACGCGAAGGAACTAGGGCCTCGACCGAAGGAAGGGCCGAGGGACGCGAACAGCATGAGCCTTGGCCTGGGGAGAACGAAGGGAGACAGGACTGTGTGCGACGAACGTGAAGACGGGGGAGAGAGGAGGGAAAGCCCGCATGAAGAGCGGAGCGGTCATGACAGCTGTGAAGGGAGATACCCGGACTTTGAAGAGGGATACGGAAGGAGGACGGAGATTCCCTACAACTTGGATCCAAAGAACTTCACAGGTGAGTTTAGCCCCATACGGACGGAAGAAGAGGTGGATGAGGAGGAAGAAGTACAAGAGGTCATAGAGGTCAGCAGTGGCGACGAGTGGGATGAGATCTCAAGACCTAGAAAAGAGAGGTGGCCCCCGATACGCGAGCCACGCGAAGAAGCCTGCAGGTGGGAAGATGAGTTTGGGCCAACGCCCAGTCATTGCTTTCAACAATGGCTCAGTGTGATCAAGCATGATTGGCTCATCAAGACTAGGGAACTCGCGGAGGCAGGAGCGGCGGCCACACCTTTGGATTTTTACAGTGAGAGAAAACTGCAAGAAATTGCGAAGAGGAAGAGAGAGATCATGGCCTCCGACCTGGGAGTTAAAAAGCCAGCGGAAAGGCAGGATGGGCAAGACACCGAGCGAGCTGAGGCACATGACAGCAATAAGGATTAGATATTATTAGCATTGAACAAGAGTTGTGCTTTCCTTTTGCAAATATGGGATGACAGAGTTTGTATAGTATAAGTAAGCTTGTCAGGAATGAGTGATGAAAAGGTTAGCTAAGACTGTGTCGCGATGTCGGACCAAATACCCTTACAAGGGTATTTGGCCGTGCTTTTGCATTTGACACGATGACGGCGTCGCCTACCATGATGGAGTCGATCCGAGGTGAGATGGGTGTGCACGCTTTGGCGTGACACTTGAAACGATTTTCTCGGCCATTGAGGCCGAGGCGAATCGGTGAGAAAATTTCGAGAGTCTGTGCGCGCGTTGTCTTGACGCGCACGATGATGGTTAGGATTAGTAGCAATACCCTCGGACCGAAAAGGTCGAGGGGTTGATTGAGTCAGTATCGTGTCAGGTAGGCCTATGATACACACTGAGACTTGGGCTGGTCCCTGTCTACCTACTAGATATTGAGCGTCTAAAAATGCTAACTTTTGTCTTCTCCTACTCGGCCTCGAGTACCCGACACATCTATCTCTGCTTGGTGTAGTACCAACCTACCTGCCACTTGATTGTTTTCCCCGCCACGACCTTCAGTGTCGCGGCCATAGCTAGGTACCGGCCTCTTTGCCCGCCACTTGAGTGTTTTCCCCGCAACGACCTTCAGTGTCGCGGCCATAGCTAAGTACCGGCCTTCGGGCCTTCCGATCAGCCTAGTGCCTTGAGGGACACACACACACTCAAGCTGATGAGCAGTCAACGGACACGCGGGCTGGCAAGTACACACACAAACTTGGAATAGGGTTTGGGCCACAAGGCGGACCAAGCCCCACCGTGTCTACTCTATATATATCAGAGCAACTCCTCTTCTAACCGAAGTAGGAGCTAGCTCAGTAGGTTCGGTGCGGATTGCAGATCGGAGAACCCGGGGATCGAATCCATCCGGCCTCAAGCTAACTCCTTTTTGATAAGGAGTTCCACTGGCTTTTGGTACCCCGCCTTCGGTAGGCCGGGACTTGAACCCGTGACCTCCGCGTCGGGGGGGGAGGGGGTTAGTTAGAGGTAAGTTGAGCATGGGCCCCAGATCCGAAAGTTGGCTCCACGAGAGGATTAGTAGTTAGATGCAATTTTTTTTATTTTTTTTTTTTCCTTTATTTTTCCTACTTACCTTTATTTCCTTTATTCCTTTTTATTTTCTTTCTTAAAAATTTTGTCCTTTTCGTTTTACGAAACAAAATTTGCACGAGTTACTCAAACAAATCTGCCCGACTATTGAGGGTGGATTCGTTCGAGTCAAGGCTACTCGATTAGCCGCGGTTGAAAGCTCGGGGATCCTACAGGGGTGTATCGACTCACCTTCCCAGGGCCGACAAAGTTCGTACCGCGAAGCGGGGAGGAAGTGCGCAGGAGGAAAAGGAACGCGCGCGATGGAGATGGTGCGCGGGGAGCAACGGAGGTGGTGCATGGAGGCGAAGAAGATGGCCACGCGATGGGCAACCGCGGATGAGCGGAGACGACGAGCGGGATAGCGGACAGGAGAGAAGATGGCCACGCGATGGGCAACAACGCGGGGAGCTATGGAGATACCGCGCAAAGGCAGCACGGCTCGGAAGAGTGCACGCGAACAAAACTTGAAGAGAGCGCGGGGCGGAAGATGGATCGCGCAGAAGAAGGCGGCGCGCTGGGACAGCAGTAAGAAAAAGTAGCAGAAAAAGTAGTGGTAGGAGGAGAAGAAGAAGAAGAAGAGGGAGAAGAAGAAGAAGAAGAAGTAGAAGAAGAGGAGGTGAGCTCTTACCTGGGCGCACGTGCACTACACTGATGAATCCAGCGAGTTGCTTGCCTGGGCCTAAAAAAAAGCCCGGGTAAACTTTTAAAGGTTCATCGGAACGGGGATAGATTGCTGTAATTATCGATCGCGAACGAGGGATGCACAGTCAGCGTGAGTTAGCTCGCGCTGACCACGTCCTTGCCCTCTGTACACACCGCCGTCGCTCCTACCGATTGAATGGTCCGATGAAGTGTCCGGATCGCAATGATCTCGGCGGTTTGCCGGTAGGGAATGCGACGCATCTACGGGCGGACGACGACGACGATGAGGACAACGACGGTGACTACGGCGATAACAACTACAAGGAAGACAAAGACGAGGAGAGAGAGAATAGGTAGGTCCCCTACCACGCGATTTACTCCCTAAACCAAATTGAATGAATCTACAGATGGAAAACAGAAACGTACATCACTACGTACGTGCGTGTGTATACGTGAGTGCGTGCGTGCATATGCGTGAGTATGTGTATATGTATATGTGTGTGTGGAGCGGGTGTGTATGCGTATACACTGCAGTGTGGGTGTGCCAGTGTGAGAGAGAGGGAGACGACAAGTCTCGAACCTTGGCCAACTGCTAAGTCTCCAGCCCGCGCCTCGCCTCATGCTACTTGGATCGATAGAATGAGCAAATCAAGACGTGGCAGTGTATATTTCCACGTTTCAGCGGAAGATTCATTCCGTTTTTGCTCATCCTATCGATGGACTGTGTGTGTGTCTGTCTGTGTGAGTGTGTGTGTGTGTGTGTGTGTGTGTGTGTGTGTGTGGGTGTGCGTGGATACTATGTGTGTGTGTGTGTGTGAGAGAGAGAGAGAGAGGAAGACGATAAGTCTCCGACCTGGGCCAACAGCCAAGTCTCCGACCCGCACCTCGCATCACGCTACTTGGATCGATAGTATGAGCAAATCAAAAGGTGGCGGTGCATATTTTTACGTTTCAGCGGAAGAATCATTCCGTTTTTGCTCATTCTATCGATGGAATGGGTGTGCGTGTGTACTATGTGTGTGTGTGTGTGTGTGAGAGAGAGAGAGAGAGAGAGAGGGAGACGATAAGTCTCCGACCTTGGCCAACAACCAAGTCTCCACCCCACGGCTCGCCGCGCGCTGCTTAGATCGATAGAATGAGCAAATCAAAAAGTAGCACTGCATATTTCCACGTTTCACCGGAAGATTCATTCCATTTTTGCTCATCCTATCGATGGACTATGTGTGTGTGTGTGTGTGTGTGTGAGTGTGTGTGTGTGTGTGTGTGTGTGTGTGTGTGTGTGTGGGTGTGCGTGTGTGTGTGTGTGAGTGAGAGAGAGAGAGAGAGTTGCTGCCTCCGCATCTCCTCTACTCTCTGGTGCGTTGCCACCCGCTGCCATCGATCCGCCGCTGCCCTTTGCATGCCACTATCTGCTATGCGCCCATGCGCCTGCCCCGCATACCCTGCTCGCTCATCAGAGAGAGAGAGAGAGAGAGGGAGAGAGGGATAGTTTTTCTTCTTCCTCCTCTAAGTCCGCCATCTCTCCCTCACCCTCTCGCTACCTGACCTCTCGGCATCTACAGACTATGAGAGAGCGAGTGAGAAAGAGAGAGAGAGAGAGAGAGAAGGAGATCGTGTGTGAAAGTGAGGAAGAGTGAGAGAGAGGGAAGGAGAGAAGGCGTGATGGTCCTTGGGTGCGAATGGCATTTGTGTGATGGGGATCGGGGGTGTGAGTGATATGAGAGACATACCTGGTGCTTGAGGTGAACGGCATTGGCCGAGATCTGCTCGTATTTCGGGGAGCTGTTGACGTCATCATCTGTATTGTAGGCTAGGCTAGATAGGATCTGCCATCTGTAGTCTGGGCGCTGAGCGCCAGATAGGATATCAACATTGGTTCTTTGTTGATGATGATGATGAGACTATTCCAGCATTGTCAATTATGAGCTTTTGGTGTGCTCTTATTTGGTGAAACTTGTGATGCAATTTTGTTCTTGGTTCGAGGCCACGGTTGTCTGGTCTCATGTGTATGTTGCTGCTTGGATTCGGAAGTTTGCTATCGCTCATTTTTCTTGCATTATGATTATGATTACGATTATGATTATGATTATATTATTATTATTATTATTATTATTTTTATTATTATTATTGTTATTATTATTATTACTATTATTATTATATTATTATTATTATTATTTCATGCTAGCAAGATAGCGACTATGTGTGTTTGATGGGAAGGACCAGAGTAGAACACCGTGGGGAGGAAGAAGAGTACTCACGGGAAGAAGAAGACTGTGAAAGAAAATCGAGGAAGTGTAAGGCAGGAAGAAAGAAGAATGAGAAAGAAAAAAAAAAAAAAAGAGAGGGGGAGACAGACAGACAAGCACAGACAAGTACATACACAGAAAGAAACAGACAAACATATACACACACAGAAAGGAACAGATAGACAAACATACACATAGAAAGAGACAGATAAACAAACAAGAGAAAGAGCAACTTTGGATACTATGTTGGTGTGGCCTACGGGCCTGGACATTGACTCATTACTTCATTGTATTGCTTTATATGGATGGTTTCTCGGTGCATTTGTATTCTCCGCTTGTAAATGACTACCTCGACATCTGTGTGATTTCGCAACTTGGGTTTTGTATACCGTTCACACTCATTGATGGTGATTTTATTATTATTATTATTATTATTATTATTATTATTATTATTATTATTATTATTATTATTGTTGATGATTGTTGTGAAAAACCCAGACAGAAAGCTACTCGTTAGGTGTTGTACTACAGGTAGACTCAGATCTTTGCAGTATCTTCTGTAACCGGGGAAGTGATATCTGATACAATGTCTCGTAACCAGTAGACGAAGAAGGCAGTGTAGATCAGTGGCATGAGCCACAACAGCGCCGTACACAGCATGGCCAATGCCGCGTCAGCAGCAGACAAGCGGCAGTGCCACAATAGTGTAGACAAGAGGGGTGCCACCTCAGCACTGCAGACAGCGTGGCAATGCCACCTCAGCAATGTAGGCAAGTGGCATGCGCCACATCATCATGTAGACAACATGGCCAATGTCGCGTCAGCAACAGACAGGCGGCAGTGCCAAAGCAGCTGTGTAGACCAGTGGCAAGCCACATCAGCAGTATGAACGAGTGGCCTGCACCGCATCAACATGTAGGCAGCGTGGCCTGCGCCACTACAACAGTGTAGACAGGTGGCGTGCGCGACATCA